AATGTGGCTACTCTTGGCCAATAAAAGGTGAACCCGTCTGTGATTGATCACAACCGCAGGAGCGTCATCAATTGCTGTAGAAAAATAAGACTTTCAGGATCATCCATGCACAACACACTAGAGATCACAGTATTACATACACTGCGCCACTGCATTCGGTTCACAACTTCCACCTGTGAACAGGTGACCTATTGACAACATACATTTCATTCCTTTCCGTCTGAAATTCTACATGTTTGTGCTTCCTCCATCATTAGTCACTTTTGTTTATCATTATTATTACTGCTGTTATCATGGCGGCGTGGGTCAGCGGTAATCGTATTCATTACGATTCGGTGCCCGAATCATAGCTGGTTAACCAGGCCGAGCCACTGTCACTACATGCAGTGCAAGTTTCAGAAAGCAGATGCAAACTTCGCAGCCATATTGTATATGGGAGTTTGAAATGAGGAGATGGTGAATGAGGTTTACAATGAGTTCAAAGTTTATAACCTATTCGTCAATGAATCTAGATTAGATACATTGGTGGGGGAGGGGCTGAGAGAGAACCAGCGTCGCTACTGATTCCCATCAAATATGATCAGGAAAGAAAAGCTTCAAGGTGAAAACCAATGAAATCAAAGTTTCCTTCGGTATGAAATTCGACTAATCAAACAGCCTCGCGATTAGTTCTCACGACTGGTCGTAGGAGGTGTTTCCCGAATGGCTGGCAGAAAAAAGGCAAGATAATGCTGCGAATCAGAATCTGTTCATGAAACGCTGTGGTATATGCAAAACGTTAACAAAGATACGCTTTCGAGAGGCAACAACGTATTAGCAACGGTGACTGAAAAAAGGGTGCACGGAAAATGGTGCTCGCGGTGTATGGCGAACACGGAAATACACCAGTTCGATTGCTTTGCGTACACACCTCTGCTCTACTTGCCAAATCCCCCATGACTCATTCAGTATACTCGCCTACTGCAGTTTGCCGAAGCCTCAGCGATTCGGTGGCTCCAAGGCACTTGGTGTGACCAGCAGAGGCGTAGCATGGGGGACTGTGCTGCCCCGGCCGGCATTTTTAGTACCTTCGATTGTTCGATACCAAATATAAAGTGCAAAATTTCCAGATAATGTGAGTGATGAATACTTTTGTTACTCTAGATGACCAACAACATCGCGCCATTTGGCACACCTGTGCAAACGTTTTTCCCAGCTACACCCTTACTTGTTCCATTGTGGTCACTTTCATCACATTTACCTCAGTGTCCCAAACGATCATCCATTTCATCGAAAACTAGTGTGCACTTTACTCCGAGCCAAGTTTGTGGCTTTCACGCACCTATTCTGCCCTCAGGTAAGGCGAAAATTTCCACCGCCCTAGGCGGCAAAGTAGTTGCTACGCCACTGATGACTAGACCCAGTTCGTGGTTAGCCTTGCTTTGCAATGATGACGTTGGTGACCGGTTAGGGTCCCGCGCGGCATCAAATGACCTTTGATGGCCAATCACGTTGCTCTTTGACTGTGTGCGCAGCCGATTTATACCACGAGCTGTAGGTATACGGTTGATGGAAATATGTTAGATGATTGAATTCGGTAATCTGAAGTGAAAGGCTGAATCGAGTTTTGACTTACTTGGGGGTTCGAATACCTCGCTTTTCGTACTACAAACGGTCCTATTCGGAGATGTAGGCACAATCGATCCATGTAGTGTCAATCACTGGTGAAGACACGAGACGATGTCATGGCACAACAACCGACTACACAATGCAACGAATCATGTTCTCATAAAGCAGGAGCCAATGCTGCCACAAGCAAAATGATGCTAGAAATGAGAGTGGTTAGTGCCACACTTCGTACTGATATTGCAAATGTGCTGTCAACGCTGAATAAGGAAGTACTGGCCCGCATGCCAAAACAAAAATGGATATCGGTCATTTGACGCGATCACCAACGCAAGGCAAGGCTATCCAGGAACTCGGTCTGGTCACACCAAGTGCAGTAGAGTCACCAAATCGCTGAGCTTTCAACAAACTGCAGTGAATTGTCTGTGGAGTATTATGTATCAGCTATGGAGGACTTGGCACGTAGGGCAATCGTTTATGTGCAAAGCGATCAAACTGCCGTTAGTCCGAGAAAACTGGTCTAGCAGAATTTTCCTTGCCGCACTAATACAAGCCTGAAGGAAACCCGACGCGTTCTCTCTTAACGCAAACCGTCCAATCGACATGACCGCAATCGGCACACTAGTCACTTTTTCCTTTGATGTGGCCGCACATGAAGTGCAAACTCGACCCCAAACTGCACCGCAAAACGACCAGTCTATGGATGAGAAGCAGCCGACCACTTGATCCAAAGCACGCGAGAAGCTTACTCGGCTACGAGTGCGGAGGGACAGGGAGTGATCGATGGTATTTGTTTTCCAGTCGTTTCCTTGTCGTGCTATCGTTCAGCAGCCTGGCGATGGGTACGTTGGTCCCGTACTGAGCCATTCTGGCAGCTCGTACGGCGCAGCGCATGAGCCGTGGCGGAATTAGCAACGCCTGCATGCGCGGTTGGCCTATCTTGCACGCCATAGGATAGGCGGCGCGTCCTCAGCCAATTTCTCGCTATGCCTAGGTAAGAAAGTGTCCGCCCTAGGCTGAAGTACCAATGCCTGCTCTGCGGTTGGCTAACTTTACGCGTCATAGGATAAACAACGAACAGTCAGGCTGTGACTAGAAAAAGTAGTGCAATGCTTGCCATACGGTTATCGGAATACTACCTGAGCGATGAAGCACGGGCATATGTTTTCGTCACCGCCTTATATCCATTCCGATTCACGAAAATGCGTCTGTTAATCGGCGAGTGATTATTCTTGGCCTGTATGGTGAATGCGAGTCAAACGCCGAAGAAACTGCTAACCAATACAACACTATCCATGAAACCATGCGGCCCAGCAACAGGTGGCACGTGCTTAGACTGATGAATCAGTTTGAGAAAACTGGGTGTGTGCGACGCCAAAAAATACCGGGCGGCCTTGGGTCACTACGGATAACTTTCTGCTGGCGTGGTTGTTCACGGGGTATACAGAAGGAGCGATCTGAGCATTCGTAGACTCTCCCAGCATTGCGACACCACCCGATATGCCGTGCACAGGATTTTAAAGAGAACGAAATTATGTAAGTATAGCGCCCTTCAAGTGCAAGTGTTGAACCCATGGGATTCGGAGAAGTGGCATGATTTTTGCCGTTGGTTTTTGAATACCCTGGACATCCATTCCATTCTGCTTACTGATGAGGCGATTTTCAGTTTGCATGAAGCAGAGAAACATCATTTTTGAGCAACGTGTAACGCACGTCGATATAGCATTTCACGCATGCAACCTGGCGCAAAGCTCATGGTATGGGCTGGGTTAACTAGTTAAAAAATCGTGGGACCATTTTTCTTTTCCAGTAATGTGACCGGTAGGTTGTTGTTTCGCAGTACTAATGACTTACGTTTCCTAGCATCTTCATACAAGGAATTGCTGCAGAATTGTGTCATTCAGCAACTGGAAGCCGCAGGGTTATTGTGTCCCGTTTGGTGGCAACAAGATGGCGCACCTGCACACTATGCACAAACGGTACGTGATTATCCCAACGAGACGTTCCTTTATCGCTGGATCGGTCGGGAAGGAGCCATAGGGTGGTCTGCTCGGTCACCAGATTTGAACCCGTTGGATTTCTTCCTATGGGGTTACTTAAAACGACGAGTTTATAAAACTAAGCCTAATTCTCTTGAACTCTAACGGATCATTTTGAACGAATGTCGCGGGATCACAGTGGAGACTTTGGAAAAAGTGCTAGCAAACACCAGGCGAGTGCTGCACTGTATGCAAAACACCAGCGGGCATTTTGAACACCTACTTCGTTGATTTTCTGTAAATATAGGTATCATCCATTGATCCAACGACTAAACTGGTGTGCCGGCAACCGGTGCCAATGGTGTGACGAGGCAGACTAGGTGCTAAGGGCGTTGTCTAGAGAGAATAAGACGGTAAGGTGAGAAATTGCTACGGGGTGGCGGTTAACATGGGGCATTGAAGGTTTACAGTGAAAGAGTAGTTCCAGACAGCAAGATCCACTTTTGCAACGAAAGTCACTTAATGACAGGTAATGGCTTGCTGGAAGCGCGTTTGGAGGCTACAATAGCGTTGGTCATGAATGTCATGAATGTTAAGAGAAGATAGTTGCTCTTGGAGAGCCAGCTAACTTCTGTGAGCAACAGAAGAACCTGGAAATCTGCACTGTTCTCCTCACACAACTGATGGAAAATCCGATCATAAAGAGGGTTCGATGTGTTGACTACTATTTTAAATTGACAGTGAATCGTTTAAGTGCCCTCATATGTTCTTAGCCACTAGGTATTCCCGATGAATCACATTGAATTGTGTCAGCAGAACGGAAAAAAATTTTCAGATGGGCAATTAATTCTATGTAACTTCTGACCACTGCGGCAGCAATATCTATTGTACATGCAATCATATTCTGTATTGGATTGAGTTTTCAGTCAGATAGCTACTGACTAGAAATATAGACTGACCTTCGTATGAGTTTTAATTCTCTTGGAAAACAGAATCACTTCACTAATTCATTATCATTGAAGAATCGGACATATACCACGAGAAAAGCGTCGTTGTCAGGTAAAGTAGATTCATTTACTGGTTAGAATTTTTTAGACTGTAGTAACGCAACTAAGGCACCTTCGATGTCTTGAGAATCTAAGATGAGACGTTTGGTAAGCATACTAATAACAGTTTCTAGCGGCCAATGTTAAAATGCAAAAATGTAGAGACATTGTTAGAGGCAAGCCAAAGGTTGTTTCTGAGGATGACTGAAAATACAGTGTATAGCTAAAACTTCTGGAGAAAGTACAATGAAAACCAATGGAACTCACAAAATTAAAATGCTCACTGGACACACATGCATTACAGGAAAGTTGTAGCAAGCAGTGACAACAGGTAAAATGAAGTACAGAAGAGACAAACACGGATGAAAACGCCGGATAGTTCAAGAAACCTGCAGGGGAGGGTCAACACCGAAACTAATAACGTACATTGGCTACTGCCAAACATAGCGTCCAATGCGCACTGGCAAGGCATTCGATTATCGTGAGTATTAAGAGAAGTATCTCTATGTACACATCATGTTATATACTCACCAAAGAAACCGTATGGCTACACGTATGAGGTAAGTTAACAAAACTGCTCTGCAATTTGAAGACTTTACCTGAACTGCATGTTAAGAAAGCGTTATAACGCGTTCAGCTGTCGGAACGAACGAACGTTGTTCAGAATTAGTACACCACGCGATCACAGTAGGCACTCGAATTCGGAACGTTGCGGGCTAGTCTGACCTAGCCGCCAGAGGTGTGCGCGAGCTGAGACTGGAGACGAAAAACGCGTAACCTAGCCATACCGAACTGAGACCCAACAAGAATTCGTTCTCTGCACTTGTCACAAAGTGGTAGCGTCCTGAGGAAAACTGTTAGTCTCAGTGTGGCTTTATGCGGTAACTGCCGCAGTGTTCTGACGAGAGTTCGTTAGGCTCACTGCAGCTTGCCCAGTAGATGCATCAGTGTTCTGAGTAAAACTCAGTTGATTCACTGTGGATATCATCAAAGTCCTATGGAAGAATCGGTTATTAGTTGCGCAGTCTAAGTCGCCTTGTGGTGATTATATGTTTGAGGTGAGCGCAGCGGAAGCTGCGCAAGTTCGGTGCAGCCATGCCAGCTCCCCAACAGAAAGTCTGCCTGGTCTGGATTTCATCCCTTCGTAAACAGCCATTTGCGCGCGTGTTATCCATTTCACTGACCCACAGTGATCAGAAAGATTAGTGCGCGGAGAGAAACTATCAGGAAATTGTTCAGATGTATTTGCTTACTTGTATTATCACAATTCACTTTTCACAACCTGGCCCCCTGTGGCCCCCCTAAACACTTTTTTCATCTAAGGGCCGCGTGGAATTCACTACGAAACCCTGTGCGCCATATGGCTCCCATGGAGAATGGCTGGGTTAGACATCCGCAGAGCACGCATTGATAATTCAGCCTAGCGCGTGTAGTTTTGCCTAAGCTGAGTGCGCGCCGCCTATCCTATGGCGTGCAAGATAGGCCAACCGCGCATGCAGGCGTTGCTAATTCCGCCACGGCTCATGCGCTGTGCCGTACGAGCTGCCAGAATGGCTCAGTACGGGACCAACGTACCCATCGCCAGGCTGCTGAACGATAGCACGACAAGGAAACGACTGGAAAACAAATACCATCGATCGCTCCCTGTCCCTCCGCACTCGTAGCCCAGTAAGCTTCTCGCGTGCTTTGGATCAAGTGGTCGGCTGCTTCTCATCCATAGACTGGTCGTTTTGCGGTGCAGTTTGGGGTCGAGTTTGCACTTCATGTGCGACCACATCAAAGGAAAGAGTGACAAGTGTGACGATTTCGGTCATGTCGATTGGACGGTTTGTGTAAAGAGAGAACGCGTCGGGTTTCCTTCAGGTGCGCATTAGTGTGGCAAGGAAAATGCTGCTAGACCAGTTTTCTCGGACTAACGGCAGTGTAGTTTCGTGTTCGCCATTTTCCGAGGGTGCAATTTGCCGTGTACACTTTTGTTGTGCGCAGTTTTCGTGTATGCTTTCATCATGGAACTATCACCAGCTCGGAAAAGTTGTATGAGAATTTCTGTCACACGGCTACCAAGTGTCAGCTAGCTACATGAGTGGGATGCAGGCACCGATCGCAAGTCGAGTCAAGATGATAACTGAAGGAAAAAGAGATGCAAAACGGAGGAAGAACACAAAAAGATACGGAAGAAAGCAAGGTACAAACATCAGTTGTAGAGCTAATAAGCCGAATGCGAGAACACAAGGTCAGCAGAGTCCCCCAATCATTGATGATGCAGATACCAAGCGTTAACCTGAAGATACTTCAATTTATTTATTCACGCCGATTAGGCAAGTTGCCAACTATATATACTTACAAGCGTGAGTGCAGGCAACGCGTCATCACAAACATGGCAAAAGTGGAAGACAATAACTGATCGAAAGAAACGATTTCTTGTGTTTTACACATGCAGGTTAAAGTCCTTTTTGTTAGGCAATCTTTTCTTCAGGAAATTGTTTTATGTACCCATGGCGGGTGAATATTCAGCTACAGGTAAATTCCAAAGACAGAACAAGTAGAACAGTGCCAAATTTGAAGGCCCAACCGAAAGAGATTGAAGGTTAAATGTTAGATGGTACGACAAAACCACCCGACGCCACTGATGTCTGTTGTGAGACATAACAGCCAACGTTTGCAACCACTGAGAGTCCGTGTCGCGTGGTCCCCAGCATAGAAGGATGATTGGGCCGACTGATGATAACCATGAGGTTTGCTTTATGACGCTCGTTCTACATGTCACTCGTTGTCTACCGCAGTACTTCTTCCAAACACATCAGGGAGACATGAACAACGCTCGGCGCGGAAAGCGATAGGCTGGTATACACAATACCTTGTCCAGCTAACGCATGCGGTTTCGGAAGATAACGTTATGGAGACGGAGACTTCTGTATGGCTTACGTGGCTTCCACCACACATGAGCAATTCTTCGCGGATAACGGTTGACGAAGAGTGACTTATTTCCGAGTGAACAGACTAAATCTCACAGCCATACAACAGGATCGTACGGATGGTGGCATTGAGCTTGAGTGACATTTCAACGATGTCATAGGTGTAAGCAAGGCGGGTCTTCGCGGTCCGTTGTGAGACCTCATCCCCAACACTGCTGCCAGCCCTGATGCAACACCTTAGATAAGTGAAGTAGGAGACTTGTTCCAGGACGTCACCAGCACAGGCACCTTCCAATTCTGGAGTACTGTTTTACACTTGAATAGGGTGAAGTACACGTCATACTTAGGTGCCTCCATTTCTAAGCGGTTCAAAGCGCCATGGACGGCGGTGGATAGTCCCACAACAAGGCATTATCATCGGCGTAATCCGAGTCCGCGACAGTCACCTGGGAGAAGCTCAGTTCAGCAGTTTTGGTCTCCTTATGGTGCTCGCTAGACATCTTCAATGGAAAAACTGGAGAAGAAAGGGTGCTAGAGCAATCTTGGCGAACGCTGCTGGTGACAGCGAAGCAAGAAGAATGATTGTCGTAAACCCTGACTTTGCCTGACGGGTGACCGTAAAGTTCCTTCAGGATGATTATAAACTTGTCATGCACACCTTTCCTCAGTAGACAATTCCATAACGCAGATCTATTTACTGAATCAGATGCCGATCGGATGTCCAAGAACACTACGATTGTTGGCCGTCGGTGGAAGTAACGAAGTTCAAGTAGTTAGCGGAGTGTAAAGATTTGGGAATGGCAACTTCAGCCTGGACGAAAACCGGCTTGTTCTTTTCGGGAAAAGTCCTCTCTAGTCGCTGAAAGCCTGCGAAGTAGGACGGACACGAGGATTTTAGACGTAATCGAGGTGTATGACATTCCGCGGTAATTGACGCAATCCTCGCGGGAGCCTTTCATGTGAATTGAAATAATGACCGATTCATCCCATGAGTTTGTAACGTTCTCGTCAGTCCGAAACATCGTGAACAGCGATAGTATTTCGCTGAATAGAGTGTGGGGCTGGCTGTTAGGGCAAGTCGCTTTATGACGCTTCAAAGCGTAGATTGCGCTTCAGATCTCTGGTTTGTCAGGTGAATCCGTGGAGAAAGGGCCAAGCACCATCCGAAGGAAATGGTAATGTCACAAGAGAATATGCTGGGTAGTTACATCGAAGAGCGACCTGAACGCCTGTATAGGTTGGTGATTTTCGTGCCGCTTAACTCACACACTGCCTGATCGATAGCGCATGAATTGCAACAGGTGGTCTTGATGAGGTAAAATAAACTGCGGACGTTTCCAGCCGACGCAGTGGCTTCCATCTCAGCAGCTCGTTTAGACCACTAAGATTCGTGGTCACGGCGAGGGTTTGGTCACAGCTGTTGAGGGAGAGTCCGATAAGGATCGTGCTCCGCACCGGCGGGCACAGCCCGTCGTCGATCTAGCAGTTCCTAGGATCTTGCCGAGATCCCGAATTTGGCTGTGCTGCGGGTATGGCTTGTGCAAATAAATAAATAAATAAGTGTTGGTCAACATCCAGAGTAGGGGGCAGAGCAAGAATTTCACGAAGCCTCTGTTGATAATCCGTTTCCACCATCGGGTCCTCTAACTTGTAGGTGTTCAACCGGGTTTGTTTGGCCCTAGGTAAGCCACCAAAACACATGCAAACTGCCGACCCGTAACCTTAAGGATAACATCAGCGTTGTAATCCGAGAGTGTGGATTCGAGCCCGCGTATGGATCGGCCGACCCTTGCAGTATCCTCAGCCCACATGCGACCGGTGGTGGTTGAGCGGCAGTGAAGCGTCGGTACTGCGTATCAACGAACTGCTGACGCCTTTTTAGTTTACGCACCAATGCATGATGGGTTTAACGCAAGTCGACCAAAAGGTCCGGTATCCGCGTAGGTTTCAGCGGTCTGCGCCGTGACGAAGGCTCGTGCTGCAGAGGAAAAGCCGGTAGTCAGTACAAAGACTGAGGAGCCTCTCTCTCGGCTGTCAGAGCGAAGATCATCATATCCATGCGGTCTCCCGAGGTAGCGTTCACATAGCAGCAACCGATCAACAGATGATTCAAAGTCTTCTGTTATAACCATGATGTCTGTTTTAGGCACCCTGAGGAGCAGCTTATGAAGGTGTTGATATAACTGGTGTTTGACTGTATCCAAGCCGAAGTCAGTGGAAAAGTAAGCGGAGATTACAGAGATAGCACGCTTGTCGCTCGACGTCTGCCAACGTTGCAAGAATCACAGAGCGTCATAGCATGAAAGCGACTGTTGCCCGGAATTCAATGAAGGAGATCGGCTTCGGCCACAGAAATGAATGAGATCTAAACACCAGCTTGACCAAATGCAGCAGACTCAGCGTAACCAGAAAGGCAGAGATAGAAGCAGGTGTGTTTGTGTGGAACGGTGATGAGAATCGGTAGACTGTGTTGGAATCCTGAAGTCGTGTCTCTTCCAGTTAGCAAGTACCAGTTGCATCATCAACAATAACAGTACATCAGCCATTCGAACAGATGCTTCGCCGCAGTACAACTACAATGACACATGGACCAAGGAGTAGTAGGGGAAAACGGGGAGCTAGCGCAAAACCTCAACATCCAGGGTCAATGCGCCTACACATTGTCAACAACAGACCGTCACAAACTGCTGGCTATCATGCAAAAATAAGAAGGCATCGGCGAGACAGTTTCATTATGGCATCATAATCAACCATCACGCCGCAGATAAGTCAGCATCAAATACAATTTAAACAGCAGCTATAACCAGATCCTCAGACTGCGGGGGCTAAGTCTCACTCGCACATAGTAACGGCCTTCATCGTGGCCCTGTAAACACTGTCTTTCAGATCTAGGGAAACCCCCTTTTGACGCCACAGATGCCATAAACCAAGGTAAGGGCCGCACACACAAAAATGCCAAACGCTGCATGTTCACTTACCGCAATGCTATCCACTCGATTCGCTGTGGCAGGCTTCACTTCAGCGGCTTGCGGTGACTCACAAAAAGAACTCCCTTGAGTATTCTCGCAACCGCTACTAGATGAGTTAAGTACAGCACGGGCACCACCAAACTTGTTCTTCAGGGCCCGAGCGATAATGAAGCAGGGGTCGGTGTCACTGGAGTGGTGGAGATACAACAAGGAAAGAAAACGATATAGTTTGTCGGAAATCCACTGATCAGTCAAATAGATAGATAGGAATTGACAGAAACGAAGAACGAGTTCCATCGACCGCATTAAGACTTTTCCGTTGAAGTAGATAAAAGATTCAGCCACTGAAAAACAACAGCGTCAGGTAGGACCAGCAAAATAAAAGGCATCCTAGTAAGGCAGCCACGTTAAGTGTGTGGGTTAATGGGAGTGCGACGAACAATTCACACCTGGACTATGGAACTATTGTCATCCCGAGATTGAGAAAGTTAGCCTTCAGAAAGTAGCGGTATCCCCTCATGAAATTTAGATTGAACAGGCAACCGCAAGCAAATCTCCAAAGGAGTGTGCTGAAGAATTAAGGATACTAGAAAAACAAAAGATTAACTGACAGGACTCCATATTTGTCCACAGCGGCTACAAGTGAACAACTAGAGGCTACTGGAAATAGTCAATTAAGATCGTATGGAGATTATCCAAAATCCAGCAGATGTTAACACGTCCGTTCTGATGTTCCAACCGGCCTTTAAAATGAGAGATTGCTTTGAAAAAGATATTGCTGTTCTATGTAAACTAATCGTATAGGGCGGTGTCCGATTTGCGAAGGCGGACACCGCTGTATGAAACAGGGAGAATTTGACTGTTCACCTCTGGAGCATAGCGGATGCCGAAGTAACGCGCACTGCGGACGAGTGCCGGAAAGATAAAATGTCCAGGGAATGTTCTATGAATGCTGATGGTTATTCGAATGGATTCAACTGAGACGGATTAGGGTTAACCAGCCGGCTGCGTAGGTGCAGAACGGCCTCACAGTGTCCTTGGTCTACACGCGACTAGTCGTGGTCGCGTGGCAACGAAGCGCCAGTGCAGTTCGCAAGCGTACTGCCTCTCTCTCTCTCTCTCTCAAAAGAATCCACAAAGAAAAGCGGTAATCTCTTTAAACTACGTGCCCAAGGTTAGGGGTGGAGTGCTCTAGTCTTCGCACAAAAACAATGTGCGAAGCAATCGACAACAATCTGCGATATTTGACGAGTGGTCAAGTAGCCAGGTAGACCATCGAAATTCGCAGATGTACAGTAACTTAGACTCCTGTTTGAGAAATTGTGGTATTACCACGGATCTCCAACTGGAACTATAAAATGTGCCCCATGGATGAGTTCGAAAAAAGTGAGGAAGGCCGCCCAACGCCTCTGCAGGCAACTACTGTTGTCTGGGTTTAACTGCGATGGACTCGAATTAAGATCAAAATTTTTAAGGCGATGCCATCGTCACAATTCATTCTTACATTGTGTACCTAAAAATCACCCTCCAAGCAGTCGTTAGCCGTTGTGTCAAACGCTGCCCGTTGTGTCCCGAGGCTCGGGGGCAGTTATCACAACATCCCAGTGGTCCCGATTTCGATACATGCTATCTCTATCTGAGGAGATGATTTAAAACCGAAACGCGTCATGGTGTAGCTTTCTCGGACAGGCAATACCCAAGTTCAAAAATTGTAGAGTGATATCATTGTAGGTAGTGTGCTAGTTAATCTCAGCTCTCCATGCACAGGAGAAAAAAGACCTGCTTTTCTCACTTATGTTTACCAGTAAAATAAATCTCACGAGCATTATTTTACGTGGGGAAAAGCGCATAATATAAACCCCTAACCGGTGTTCATTCGCCTACGCGTTGAGAGCGCGTCGTGTCAAGAAAGGTGGAAAGAGGTTAGGGGGAATTTCAAACTGCGATACCCTGCACTGATGTGGGAGGCAATGTTTCCAGTAACAAGAATGCTACGTAATGTTATTGGTGCAGTCAGCCTAAACAGTCGTTCGAAGATACGGCCGCCATGGGCCCACATACTCCGTTCGAAACCCGGTGGTACCATAAATTTAAAAAGAACGACTCGTTTTCAAAATATTCCAAACCAAGATTCTATCCTGTTCACTTGCAAGTGGTCTACAGGGATGTCTGTCTAATGGCCATTGTCAGCTTCATGAGTTATGAGTGCTGGCACAATAGATCGGTCAAGAACAACAATCTAAATCCTGATGCTACACTTATAGCTTCGGTGTGGATAGCATACTACACATAGCGGCTCAGAAGTCTGTTACCTCCATTTTACACAATGACAGTTACACAAAAGAATGTATCTCGAGGTATGGGGTTAGAGACTCTCAAGCAGAAAAGTGAGTTAATATTCCCAAGGTTAAAAGGAAGAAAACGATAAAAGAATCCCCCATCGACTATGACGGCCTCTAAAGAGCGTTAACGTGGCCGAAGTGGTGTTGCTACAACGAACCAAGTAATAGTTAAGTGATTGGAGGGTCACTTTGAAGTACACGTTGTGTCATTGGATTGCGACGCGCAATCTCGATGTAGATCGCGACTCACATTGAAGTGAACCTTGGTCAATGCGAGCACTTGGACCGTAGCCGAAGCAGATGTTGTTGTCCACCTGAGTAAAGTTTCCACGGATTTATAAACCCGAAAACACTGCACAACCACGACGCATTTCGATGTCATTTCATCTCATCAGGTGGAGATAGCAGGCCTCGAACCCGCGACCATTGGAATAGTAGCCGAAACCTCTATCCCTTTGGCCACCGGGTCACGGAGGGCAACGTTTGGCACAACAGTGAATGACTAATTGGAGGGTCAATTTTGGACTCACGTTGTGTGATTGGATTGCGACACCCAATTTCCAACTGCTTTGACTAAGATCCCAACGATTGCAGTGACCAAGGTTTACTTCAATGTGAATCGCGGTCCACATTGAGATTGCGCGTTGCAATCCAATCACACAATATGTAGTCCAAAATTGACCCTCCCATTAATCTTATACAAATTCCGCGAAGCCCGGATTTAATTGGTCCCAGATTGTCCAGTATTTCAAATGCTTGGAACCTGCTTTGCTTCGGCTTCCCAAGGATGGTTGATTCTTCGTGAAAATGTCGGCATCACCCAAGTTCAAAATTTAGAAGGGGATACCACCGTATGCACACAGCTGGTAGAAAGAAAGTTGATGGAAAATGAAGGTGTCAAGAACATAGGATCGAGGTACAAATTCAGTGACACACACTGTATGGTCACCTGTGACTCAGTCCTAAGTTTCTGAGTCTCTCTGTTCGAATAAAATGCGGCTTCATCGGTAACCGAAGATTACGAAATGTTTTCCTGTTGCAAGCGTCACGTTCAAAAAGTCACCTGACAGCTAGGGAAACGCATCACATGCAGCCGAAAAGTTTCGCTTTAAAACTGTCCCTACCTCGTAAAAGCTGATGAGTTGCTCCAGCCGTACTATCTTGTCTACAGCTAAGCCAGGCTTGTTCTATGATAACACAAAAGGCACTGAAACCCGTTGTTGTCATCGACCTGCCATTCTGGTTTACGTAAAGCAATATACCAGCTATGAGAATAGTCGTCAATAGCTGTAACCAGTAGTCCGACCTAGCAACAAAACGTTCACAAACAGACCACTAGGCTTGGAGAAAAAACAATAGCTTCATAGCTCTACGGTATCTAAATACTTGTATCCAAATGAAGTAGGTACGTACTTGCTTTTCGGTGATGGGTGAGAGCGAACAGGAGTTCCACCAGGTGATCGTGGTATAGCACGCAACTTTATAGCTCCAGACTGGAGTTCCCGAAGGACCTGACCCATGTCGGCTGCTTTCTGTGGGATTCGTGCTCCTTGAGTTGAAGTCACCGAGTCAGTCTAACCACAAAACGAAAGGTAACAAGATGAGAATAAATGAACAGTATCGACTACTGGTAAACAATGATGAGTAACTAGGTAGTAGTTGATAGTGGTTATGGTGGGCAAATGGGCGGAGAAGTAGTAGAAAGTATCTCTGAAATCGAACGGCACATTAAACGCTAAGAGGAAGAAAAGATGGACCGAATGGCGCACTGCCCCGACATAGACAAACAAGCAAGACAAGAAACACGTCATAAGTCTACAAGCAGATAGCCGGAGGACTGTGTAGTGTGGTGACCAGCGCTCGACATTATCAGTCTACTGTCCATGGAGCCGAATGCCAACGAGGTCCGAGAAAGATGGAAACGCCAAAATTAAACAAAACAGCTCCAGTAGTAAGTATTGCTGCTGCGAAGCGCACCGCAGCGATAAAAAGATACAAAAAGGCGGGGGAACCGAAAAAGGAAAGTGCGGGAACAAGCTGATACGAGAGCGACAGAAAGACTGCAAAAGTTACAACTGTGGATCAAGCTCAGCAGTAAAACGTAAGGGAGCGAGTTCAGAGACATCCGTGACTTCGCGATTGAGTTGTGCAGCAGTCGATGAAGTCGATCTCCAGAAAGACGCAATGAATCGTCATCCAGTATGTCACTAATGCCTTTCTGGTAAGACGTCAAGTGCCAACACGACATTTTGTCATCGCAGGCATACACAGTGGTGAAAAACAGTGGATATGAGCAAGTATGCGAAAACGCAAATGAGCCTGAGAAAACGGCGCGAATTCCAAAGAAACAAAGATGCCTGAACGGCTATTGCTTAAATTGGTTGGCTGTCGTCTATATTTCCCATAGCTGTCACAGCTCTGACGTCGGACACTTAGGACAGATTTACGTTTGTTGTCATTGAGTACTTGAAATTCCCTCCGCGCATATTTGCTGTAGAATATAAGAGGTCTTACCCCGGATTAATTGCAAATCACGGGCTAAGGGACATTGTGCAAACTCCGACCAGCTTAGCGGCAATCTTAGGTAAAGTAAGTGTTCACAACCTGAAAATGTTTTCTATCTGTAATCGTGCACCGCTTGGGAGTTCTGATCACATTGCCATAAAGTCATTCCTTGTTATCGATAGCAAGGCAAACCATAAAAAACTCACCCGTTGAAAGACTCGGAGTCCAGGGAGAAACAATGCTTTCCTCAGAGCATTGAGGGAGTACGGGGAAATATCGCCTCCACAGATTTCATTTTCTTTTATGGCGCAGACATATTGTGACCATTTAAAGTTACTCTAACTTATGCTTTAATATCTGTCATCCAGTTAAAACTGTCTTCATTCATGCACATGGGCTCTCATCATGACTTTAACGATTACACAGGTTCTAAGAAAAGGCATTTAAACGCTAACATTTTCGTGCAGTGAAGTGTTTATCAATCGGTATAAGAATCGAATTGGGAAACAAGTTGCTGAGAGACATAGGATATAATAAAACGGTCAGACGGAGTCACCCACGAGTTCACGCATCCTACTCTGGATGTGGAAAAACACTCCGTTTTGTGACTAGGATGGTAACTCAGTCTGTGCTGTATCATCTGTTGAGTTATAACTTCCCTCAAATAACCTACCTTCTGGGAATCAGTCAACCAGAAGTAGAACAAACCACCCGGTTCGGATTAACTGTTTCCTGTCGTTCTCGAGAAATGTGCTGATTACCTAGCACAGCTTTTCGCCGAACTGCACACGTGCTTACAGCAGTAAAAGAGAGCCGATAGCTGGCGAAGCGCAAGCAGCACGCCGGTGCCAATATCGATCGATTGTTTGGAGATCAATTACTTTGAGGACTTGAGAGGCCTATTACTGGAAGAATGTTAGCTATGACACATTTGGATGGACCCCATCAGATCAAGATCCACCTTGGCTGCGATAGCCTCCCTCGTAAATCCTGTGCTTTCATCTATCTGTTTCCTGAACTATGGCAACGCTTTCGGCTGCGTTTTCTGATCCTACGTCCCTGCGTGCGTGGTGTCCCATTGGACCTACTGCTCTTCAGCGACCTTACTTGGTCTCTTGAATAAAAACTTCAAAGTGAATGTCGGGTCAGTGAAATGCCCATTTTGATGTAGTAGAATGTAAAGGCCGAAATTTGTTGATATTATCGCATCCAACTATATTAGCTCCTGCAACAAACTTGCATCAAAAATACTCAAAGATAGAAGTCGCTCCCTCCATATAGCGATGTGCTAATATATATCAAACTCCTCGAACAGAGATACAACCATTTATGCCTGCACACGGGCCTATGGTACGTCAGTTTTCTGTTATTCATCACTTTTGACAGATTAAATTTAACGAAGCAGGAACTAGCAGGTGAAATACTTCAATGAAATAAGTCCTGTCAGTGTTTTCTCAAGAATGCTCACGCAATAAACTATTTCAATAGATATCCATGTCCAGGGCGGGTGTGTTGCAGCGAAATATTCAACTTTCGTGGGTACATGAAGCGCATTTTGACCTGACTTTACTTAGCACAGAACACATCCGATACTCGGTGGTTGAGTTACAGACGTTTCGTCACTATAGCCTGGGTGACACCATCCGTGCAACAAGGCCAGCTGACACTGACAGAAGGCATATCCGAAGATGGATGTTCGTTATATAGATTTTTGCTGTTTGTAACCACTTTAATTTGACTGATTAGTCATGGTACCCAACATCGGTATCTGGGTGCTTTTCATTGATCACAAATTATTCTTGCGACGTTATTGGGATTCTCCTAATTCGATTAGCATTCCAAGTTAACATCGACTGTCCTGTGCATTATTTAGCAATGCATTGCTTTCTTTCGAACTGCGGCTTTCACCTCGCTTGAGGTCTTTCCGTCTTATTGGTTCGTATACTGGATCAAGGTGGATATGCAGGTTGATCGACGTTAGCGAAGGACGCTAACTATGCACCTACCGCACCAATCGAATGGAAGAGAATCCGAACCATATCGCAAAAGTCTATATAAAGAACAGATTAATACGTGGCAGCATACATCTCCGGATTTTCTTTCTACCAGTATCTGCTATCAAGCCGCTACCCCAACTGCACTGATGATGTTATCTCGACTGGTGACGAAACGTCTGCAGTTGAGTTATCCAACTCTGAAAGCAACTCAACAAATGAACAGCACATCAGTTCGAACATCCGATACTCTTCAGCTAAGTGATGCGATCAACTGTGTTGAGAGTGGCCTTCAAGCCAAGGAAGTAGGCATAGCAGAGGTGTGGCTTTCTGCTGAGTAAGAAAGTCTGGAGCAAAGAAAACGGTATCAGCAGTACGCTGGTACGCAGCACCGACGCTTTGCAGTCACACGACCACAAAATGTCGCACGTGAACTAAGGGTATTGCGAGGATCGCCTGGTCCACCACGCACGTTCGAACTTGCACGCTCGGATTACAAGGGTACGGGCCGGCGGTGTAGCGTAGTACCTTATACGGGATGACTGAGTACTCCGTCAAGAACATGACCAGTTGATTCATACATAAGCACAGGTCACTGGTAGTGAACTCGTACGGAATGTTAAATCCAAATGGGCCAAACTTCCGCTCTATTAAGACCTCGTTGAAAAAAGCCAGCGAAAGGAGCAGGTGTCTGAATGCAGTGTTCCTATCCGGTACATTTGTCAAATAATTTTCATTTATGTATGTATACGTCCCCATCAGATCGGCCTTCAAATCTCTGGGCGGTTCGACTGTCCATTTAGATCTGGTTTGCAGTATGTAAACCCGGAAATCGACAATGGGCATGCTGGTGAGCCAAAGGCGAAAATCGTGAGGTACTCTATCCTTGTTCATTTGCTCCAATAGGCGCTCCAATGTGGGCATCCACGATGGTGCAAGATGACAATTTTGTAAGATAAGTTCTCCAGCACGTGTTCCTTGTCCTCGAAGAAAGAAAATCGCTGACAGTTTCTAGCCTCTACAACGCATTTCATCGGCGAACTTGCACAAATCCGAGGCCTGATCCGTGCCCTGTGACAAAACAAAGATTAGCGGAGCGGTTTGAAGCTTCACGAACCGCCGACCCAAATGTTGAGTGACAAGATCTTGCATGGCATTCGTCACTTTGCCCCAGCGTAGACACAGTCGCAGCAGGATGCATTGAAAGCTGTCCAGATTCTTTTGCCACGGGTCGGGAAATCTTACTCTGTGAGATTCGGCTGAGCAGAAAATGGCTTTGAATCTGGATCAGCCGCATCAATGTTAAGTGACCTGATAAAGCATGGGTCCAAGTAAAGAATACGTGGTATTACTGCACTTTGAGCCTGATGATTGGAGTGCTTTTCTTTTTAAAACTCCGGATATGTTTAACTTGATTTCCAATTCCACATTTCCAATCCACTGCAGTCAGCCTTATTGCAGTTCGGATGGAAGGTTCGGTGTGTACTTCATGCCCTCAAATTACAACAGTATGTGGTGGACCAGTAACAATATCACCAGTTCCGATTACCGCCGAAAGTCTACAATACTCCTAGCTGTCAAACCATGAAAGAAATTGCCACACGCACCGGTAAGACTCATGCGCTCTTCCGCAGCCTCAATACGGATATATCAAGATATAGGTTAGCTGGCGAAGGGCGGACCGTGTAGCGATGAAATGTGACCAGCGTCATTTTATGGCTCTACGACATGGCCATTTCGAAAGAAGACATCAAAAAACTGGTCGGATTTGACGGCGAGTGCCCTAATCTAGTAAGGCGTTAAGTGGATAATACTAAAAATCTAAGAGCCGGTTTTAAACAGTAGACCCCTAGCAACGTATTGCAGTGTGTCTATTGAATACGATCGGAATACGCTGATTAGAGTATGTCCTTCACAAGCCCACAAGCTGACTGAAGACGGAGGTAACGTTTTGCCAATATTAAAAACATTTCGGCAAAACTTTAAGATGGTCAATCAAGGACGACTGAGAAAACTATCCGCAGTGGCCATGTCAAGATTGAAAATCTTGTTGAAAGTGGTGCGGTCTAAGAGTGGATGATTTCGAGTCATCGTGCTCTTTTGAACCGAATTTTGCACTTAATCTTTTCCAACTTTAGTTATCCATATTGTTATCAGTAACATCGTTAATGTGACGACACAAGACAAGTAAACCCGCCGCATGCCGGTGCACGGATCATAGTTGATCAACTGAATGTAACTAAAGTAAACAACAACATCTTGTGCGCTCGACTACTTTCGAACTGATTTTCGCACAGGCTTGCAGGGGACGACAAACGTGTCGAGAACGACACTCAGTTGAGTATATAACGCGGTCGGACGCGTGGACAAGTATAAGTAACTGACACGGATTGGAAATAAAGAGATAAAAAACCAACCCCATCCTTCTTCTTTCTGGCTGCAATCAACTGTGCGCGCCAGTCGAACTGAGCTGCGGGTGAGGGTGGTGGTGGTGGTGGCGGCGGCGGCGGTGGCGGTGGTAGAGACGAGGACGGAGTGGCGATCGGTAATGGGGCTGTCTCCGAAGTTTCGGAGGCAACAGTCACAGTTGGGTGGGATAACTCGGCATCGCGTACGTCCACCGGTCCCGCATCACTTTCGCCGTCACCTTCTAGACGTTGATCGAACTCCTCACTTGAAGTGGCTAACAATCGTTTGCCTTCCTGGGCCAAAAGTAGGCGAGCCAATTGAGAGCGAAGCTGAAACATTTCCATTTCAAGTTGATTGATCCGCTTGGCATCGCACAAGCGGTGGGAACTATGAGGATCCATTGTAGCGTCTGTATCCTCTGAGCTGGATCGTTCACTTTCGGGTATCCGGCCAGAATAAACCGAGTGCAGTTTGGAAGATTGCAAGTAAGGAGCTGCATGATGGTGAAAGTTGATGATGGTGAGTTTTAAGATTGATGTGTAAGTGACACAAAGTAGAATTATGAATGCAAATGATAAAAACAAAGGTGGCCAGTTAGTCTACTCTCAAAATGCATGTGAAGTGGCAGAATAAAGCTAAACAACGGGATTGCTACACAGCAATATTGTGAAAGATTCCTCGTGGCCGAACACAGTCATAGGCCACCAGTCATCCGACAGCCTCATAGGCCAACTCGATCGATTACTAGTTGATGGCACTGGGAGCCAACAATGTACTCTGCATGGTAGCAATGTGAACGGTAACGGAGAATGAGCACTGCTATATCGCAGCTAATAATCAGTTATGACGGCCCACCGTTATCACCAATGCTTAATGGGATAGCTAGTTCGTAGATGCCCACTGCCCGCGAATCCCAATAAGAGGAAAAGATTGTTCAGCGATTAATCGGATGACAGGTTGCTATTTGACTGAGTCTGGCTACGCTGAAACTGCGGTGAATTAGGTGTTAAGGTCCGGGTTACTAGGTTGATTGAATTTGAACGAGCGTTTATCGCATTCAACATCTTGCGTAACGCATAGTTTAGTAGCTATTGCGACAAGCCGATGACCACAAAGCTACCGATAGGTGATAAAGCAAGGTTTTTTTCTACGTCAAAATCCTAACAAGGACCAAATCGCTATAAGGTGCGATAGGGAAGACAAGTAAAACAAAGTGGTTTTTAGAAATACTTCAAAGAACTGTAGGTCTACAATTTGGACGTTTTGTGTTAGCCCCCATTATATCAATCGATCTACTTAAGCCTTGTGATTCATTCAGTAGGAATTATGAGCTTATACCGATAGTCCAGGTTGTCGAATTGGCGAAGGGATTGAGTGCTTAGGAAACCAAACCAAAGATAAAAGTGGATAGGTGCCATGAAGTCCGTTTGTATGAAAATGTGCCTCATAGGCAGAAGGCGTTAAACGATCTGAGAACTATATCCGTTCAAGCTGTGAGCAGCTTCTAAGCCGAGAGAAATTTGGGTTATATGCTGGCATTAGAGCGTTGAGATGTCTGGCGATAGGGGGAACGAAAGCCAAAACGAGCGCTGGTACAGTGAAGCAGGACAAAAGTCTCCATCAAATAGTGCGTAAGAACGGTCAAGCTGTATGATACTCGATGGTGGAACGCAATTTTAGACGCACATATTTAACCCTATAAACTTAGACGGTGATTGTAAGGAGCTCAGAAACGTACACGCACTCACCTTTGTGAGACTCTTTGGATAACCCCGCAAAGGACCGAACAGACGGTTGAGTGCATCCATGGGACTTCTTCGCACGCTGACCACGAGTAAGATGTCTACTGCGTTTCCTTTGAGTAGAAACTGTTTGAGGGACAGTGACAGTAGTTGTAAAACCCGTTGTTGTGGGACACGCAGAACGGTGAACACAGCCATTTGATGAGCTACGAGCGTGCGCCCGACGACTGGGTGCGCGCACTTTCGAGTATGCATCGACTAACCCTCTGTCTGAGTGATGCTCTTCACAATGAGTTCTCCTATCTGTGCGTTCGTCGGATGGTAAGGGACAGCATTTGAGGCTGGAACTGAACTGTCGTTCGAGGTCGTATGGGCCTTCCCCATCGAAATCCGTAACACATGTGGTGGTCGTGTATGCCTGGAGGCAGAAAACCGTAAGATGAAACATGCGTGGAATGATTTTGTTAAATCCTATCGAAGAGAGAGGTGTGATCGGGAGAACGTATTTGCCGAGTAGATTCAAAATTAAGTTAACTGAACTAGGGGCGTAACAAGGTGACGTAAAGGTGGATGACAGAAGCATCGTATCAGGTACAACAAATCCTTGTTGAGATAAGACGCAGCAACATACCGGGGCACAATCCCTAATTGACGTCAGAGTGACAGCATTCCGCTTCCATACAACGGGTCCTCAAACCAGTCGCACGTTTTGAGTTGGCTATAGAGGAGTCGACCACAGTTCAGTGGCGAAAAAATGACAAGTTAATTGGCGATCTATGCACGCACCGCCACTGGCCACATACATTTGCGGTTCATACGAGTTCTAAGAGAATAAACAAGTGGCTGTCTAGATTGGCAACTAGCAACATGAATGGAAAAAGAAAGGCCTGGTAGCAAAGAACACGAGACGGCGAAACTGGCATCGCGGACTAAGCGTGCGTAATCCCCGGTATGGCTGATCTTAAATGATATTCAGGAACACAATACCAGTCTAATGGAACATCTCAAGCAATTACTTCGCATAGTAATGCTTGGTGCATAAATTGTTGGCACTCAGTGCCATGCGTTGTAGTGAAGTGAAATTAGTGCAGCGTGAGCAAGTTGACCATATTTTTGCTGAGCCAAGTGCCGCGTCTATGTAAGTAAGTACAACAATCGCAAGCTAACAAATAAACGGAAGGAGGATGGGCGCCAGAAAAGTTCGTGTCTCTGTATGTCAGGCAGTGAATAAGCGACCGTAAAACTCGACCTGATTAGTGATGTAGTATGGACGGTGTACTCGACCGTTGCGCGATTAAAACATTAGTACGTTGCCCTTGGCTATCTTTGCCTACGGGGCCCGAACTCACATTCCATAGGTCCAGTAAGTAATGTAGCACTCTAGCTACCACTTTGAAGTGATAAGTAAGATGGATACACAGACATTAGTCCGGTTGTGTTTTGCGCACAGATAAAATAAAATAAAATAAATGGTATATTCCTCGGTGATTCGAGGTGCAGTCCAACTATGTGGTCTGATCAATATGTACAACAGGATCGCAAAATAATAATCAATTTGTTCACGCTTTTTACAATGGATCCAAAACAGGTACTAAATTAATTGGCAGAATTAAGGCATTAAAGAAATTAAAAAGCAGGAACAATAACGTAAGCAGATTTAAACAGATGTCCAGTTGAAGTAATACGGCCACTCGTGGAACCATCCCCAGGGGACCTGCTTCCATGCAAGGTATTCCCTCGAAAGGTTTCGCTCGCACTTCCATGCAATAACTGGCCGTGTGCCGGTGTGGCATAGTAGCATATGAGCCATCACCTGTATATCATATGTTTTGTCCTTTTTAGAGCTGCTTTTGAACATGTATTATGGGCCATGAAGGCTCAGCCCAGTCCGTCATGCGGATCATTCTATTATGGCACTTTGTATACGCTACCTTTTATGACTTGCTTGTCGAGGATACGTTTGACTAATGAATAATTCGAAGACTACTCGACGAATAAGCATAAACAAGTGATAATTCTAGACTAGATTGGTGCGCTTGGCCTCAGTGCGTGGAATTCGAAAAATGTACAAACTCGATCAATAGAGAAATGAAAATTATCGTTAGCTCGACGCCTCCAACAAACGTTTTCCACTTGGAAATGTATTACAATAATTAGCTACCATCAACGCTTTTTTCCTATGCTAAATTCACTTTTAGCAATACCCAGATATAGAACAGGAAAACCATTTGTCGCATCGAAACGAATGCGTTGCCTAATTTACAACCGGTATCAAACTAATATCGGGAGTACCAGTATCCTGCCACAAACTATCTCTCTTGGAATTGCTACGTTAAGTGAAGAACGTCAGTACTATGCTCTCCTTCGTTTCCAATATACGATTGTAATCAAAGCGAATACAGATAACTCCAATTGCATCAACACGGGTGCATCTCCATCTATGTGAGCAAGCGATGGACACGGAGTACGTGGACTACGCTTCCCCTGCGTCGAACTAAGATATCTTGAATGCACCACGGATAAACTCGACATTCAGTGATTCCTCTTTCTACCAAAAACGCTAAGCTAAACGTCCAAGTGCTGCCGAAAAAAACAACGAATATATAATCACACCCTGTTACTAAAACAGAACCGTTAAAGATAGTGCGTCGATCATCGGGGTAAGATATGATTACTGCCATCTGGCGGCCAACCCATAAGAGAGGCTGATACGCGTGTCGGAAAGGCCACAGCGGTATTCTAAGGCTTAAGTAGTTACGAAGACGACGAGAAACCAGCTAAGTAAACTGTCATACGGGGCACGATGCTGCAATCTGATTAGTGTTAGCGCATGGGTCAAAGAGGTGGAACTTGGGAGCATAAGCCGCAGAGAGGCCGATCGTCTTTGAGCACCGGTGAACGAAAGACCCTGATAATGCCTGTTTGAGTCACTGGGTGACCAGTGCTGAGCCAACCGTTTTTGGCCTTGTATTGCACTATCCGTCCTAATTGTCCAAAGTTCGTGATAGGCCTGTTGACCAAATTTCCAGTCGAGATCGAGCAAGGTCCGAGAGTAGGGTTAGTACACAGATGATCATTAGACTAAATCCTGCTGGTGAGTGTAGTTTTTTTGACAGAGAACCATAGAAATGAGCAGCTGCCGGTTAGAAAGTCGTTTGACATATCGCCATCAAAGAATCAGTGGCGGTTTTGCAAATACACTCTTGCCACAAATAGTACCGAAGTTGGACAGTTGATTCGGGCTTTTCCATATTTTTCGATTCACTTCGTGTTCAGACTACAGCATTCGTTTTCAGAATTTCCTTGTCTTCGGTTTCCCTTAGTCTCGAGAGGCGAGATATGGTAACTAAGTACATAGCATTTCGGTGTTAGGATACTAGTGTAAAAAGGGGCCGAAACTGCAAAATGGTAACAAGGTGTAACTTGGAATTCTGTGCTTAAGGATTGTGGAAAAGCATCTAGTATACCAGTTCGAAAATATGGATCATTAAACAGATCAAAAGCCGATCAAGCAAGAAAAAACATCACCTCATCTGTTGCGGATGGCGCATCGGCTGAGTGAAGTTGACAAAGACCACCGATGCGTCCATTAGACCACTGTATGTCTAACCGAGGAGCAGCTTTCCCAGCAGGTAGCAAAATAACTAGCCGACGAAGGGAGCAAACCGATCGCAGGGCGAAAAGCTGAAAAACGGTGTAAAATACTACAAAGTGTATGAGTGACAAATCGGACAAAGAATGACCAGAAATTCTTTAAAGTACGTGAAGTGTTACATTCTATGACGAGATGCATGATAAAAAGAATCGTGAAGGTGAATAGCAGTAGAAGTGAAGTTAGGTGATGTAATACTAAATGTCTCTCAGGAAAGCGGTACTGCTATGTGTGCGTTCCTGTGATTCAACACAGTTCAAGCGTTTCAAGCATGATTCGTGAACCAGAATTCAAAGGAATGGAGATTCTAAGTGAGGAATTCTTTTCGGTAAATCACGTGAGACTCAAACTTAACATGATGACGATTGTATACTAAATGCGCCGGATAGGGCTACGTACTGACTAGACATGATTGCTGCCATCTGGCGGCCAACTCATAGGAGAGGCTGATCCGAGTGTCGAAAATGCCACGGCGGTACGCTAAGACTTAAGTACCTACGAAGAAGACGACAAACCAGCTAAGTAAACTGTCATACGGTGCTCGACGCTGCAATCTGGTTAGTGTTAGCGCATGGGTCGAGATGGAACTTGAGAGTAAAAGCCGTAGAGAGGCTATTGAAAAGACACATTTCACGGCTTGCCTACGCATAGTGTATTACAACAAACCTTTACTCGCAAAAGCTTTGAAAGATAAACGGTCTCTGTTGACTCGACCAATGCTCATTTATCAGCACTCATGCTCCTCTGATGCACGATACGTGCATCGTACCACGAGGCGCTTATCTAATGGGACTCAGGAACACATTCCGAAGTGGTTTTACAGAGGCGAAGCGAGGTCTTCTAATGGCCCCATCATGTCACACCTTTTAAAGTGCGGGTACACAGGCTCGGAAAATGAGTTCAATGTCATCTACTCCATACCTTAGTGTTTCTCACGCGGATTCCGAAAACATCTATCGACCGCAGAAGATATTTATATCCGTCACCTCAAGTCGGAGCTGTGCGTACAAAAACGATTTGTACGCTCCTTACCGTGGCCTACGTATGAGGCACGATCCTTCGATTTATGTCCAAGTTAATCCTTGTTTAAGGTGGTTTACCCTTGTACATAAGCTTTTGCCTTCAGTGACTTCGTGATTTATCGATTCGTTTCCATTAGAATAAAACTATGTTATCAATACGTAGCCCTATGCGGCGCATGTAGTATGCAATCGTCATCATGTAAAGTTTGAGACTGGCGAGATTTACCGCAAAAGAATTCTTCACTCAGAATGTGCCTTCCTTCGATTCATTCTATTAAATGAGAACTTTTGGATTGCTTAAGATCAGCATTCCCCATGATTCAATCAATCAGAATTCAGCAGATCAAACGAGATCAATAATAGTAAAACCGGCAGAACGCCCCAAAAGAGTAATAGGAAATAAAATGTAATCAGCGGGGGAGAGTGGAGATAGGTTCTCCACTGACTATAGTCTTTGATCGCGCTCGGTGGTTTCCAGCCAGTCGTTCTCTGGATAAACGACACCAAATCTGGTGGTCTTAAGCGCCCTGTCGTGGTCAAGATCAATATTCTGATATAGAAACATCGAGCCGCATTCGCGCGGTGCACCCACCAGTCAGCGCGAAATTAGGGCACAGTGTGATAAACGCCGGAGAGACATGCGAAACACAGTCTAGGCCACCGAAGCCCGCGTGGCGGGATCAAGTGGCTAATTAAAAAATAAATAGGCAGCTGTACACCGTAATGGCGCTTCGCTGTCGCGCGACCACCACCAGTCGCGAGTGAGCTGAGTATACTCCGAGGACACCCGCACCTACGCGCATTCGAAAAAGTGACCTTATGAATGCAAACCAGGCTTGCAGATCATTCGGTCACTGGGAGACATCAAGTGGCTAATTGGCCGGCAAAGCTCATCCGACTTAAAACTGTCCCAATCAACAACAGCAATACGTCAGCCATTTGAACTGATGATTTGCTGTCATTCAACCATGAGGACCTATGAAATAAAGAATAAGAAGAGGGAGAGAAAGGGGACTTACCTGAAAACCTTAATGCTCTAAGTAAACATTCAGGGTCAAGGAGCCTACACCTTGTGTAGACCACATACTGTCACAAACAACTGGCTATCGTGTGAAGATAAGGCGGCATCGGCGAGACAGCTTCCTTGCGGCTTTCAGTGCCACGCGTCATAATCAGCCATTACCCCGCAGATAACTCAGCATCAAACACACTTTAAACAGGTAATCCGACCACGAAACGGTAGCAGACGCGCCACTGATGTCGGTTAGGAGTCATGTCCTGTAAAGTCTCGAGCCAAGCACAAGGCGAGTCACGTGGACTCCAGCCCGGAAGCCGAGACGGACCAACAACACCCAGTTTGGTCGTCAGTGACTTCATTTCCCGCTGCCAAGTCAACTTCTGTTCACCTCGAGTCTTGCGCCACCCTACATCTAGCAGACTAAACAAGGCTTTCCTAGGTAAGAGGTGACCAGGCATACGTAGCACGTGCCCGAGCCAACGCAACTTATTCAGTGCTATCTGTTGTTCTAGGGAGCTAGCATGATTATCACCACCTAGTACTCGCCTACGCACATCATCGTTGAGGACACGCTGGTGCCATCCGATACCAGCAATGCTTCGCAGACAACGATGATCAAAGACTTGAAGGCGCCTCAGATCTTCAGACCGAAGGGGTCAAGTCTCACTACCATTGAGCAGAACGGCCCTCACTGTGGCCTAGTATACACGGCCTTTCAGACGAAAGGAAACTCCCTTCTGTCGCCAAAGATGCCGCAGATTCAAGAAGGTAGCTCTGGCTTTTGCAATGCGTGAGCTGAGGTCATCATTGCTGATGCAGCTGCCAAGATAAGTGAATTGATCAACCACCTCGAGTTCCTCGTTAGCAAACGTCAAGGGATCATCAAGTAGCTGGTGGTCCTGCAGCAACACTTTGAAGTTGCGAAGTGCATACCAAATAATGGGACCACTCTGGACAGGTTATTCAGGGTTGATTGTGCCGCCCCTACATCGTCGAAAAGCAAGACGATATCGTCCGCATAATCTAGATCGAAGGAACTGAAGAAGAGTCTGGCGGACAAGCCGACACTGGATGAGACGCAGGGAGCACTTGCTCAGCTGCGAAACGGCAAGTGTGCCGAAGCCGACGGGATCCCGCCTGAATTATTGAAACAGGGCGGACCCGCGTTGTTGACTGCGCTGCATCACTTGGTGCAACGTGTATGGATTGAGGAGGAGGTGCCTCCAGATCTAAAAGATGCCCTTGTGCTACCACTGTGCAATGGTAAAGGTAGCAAGCAATGTTGCGCGAATTATCGTGGCATCAACTTGCTGAGTTGTGTGGGCAAGGTGATTGCCCGAATCCTGCTCAACCGCCTCGTCAGTCAGGTTGGGGAACCTAACGTGGCAGAAGAGCAATGTGGATTCCGTTCGGGTCGCAACACTATAGATGTGGTGTTTGCGGCTCGTCAATTGCAGGAGAAGTGCAGAGAACGACGCCAGCCGTTGTACTCGCTTTTTGTTGATTTCACCAAGGCATTTGATACGGTGAACCGCGAGGCATTGTGGCTGGTGTTGGATAAGTTTGGTTGTCCGCGTAACTTTGTAAGTTTAATTGAATGTCTGCACAGTGTTACGCGGTTGAGGGTGCAGCTGAGTGGAGAGACCTCGAATGACTTTCCAGTTGTCACTGGTGTGAAGCAAAACTGTGTCTTAGCTCCTGCCCTGTTTGATATATATTTTCATGCAATGTTGTCCTGTGCCTTTGATGCCGCTTGTGCTTACGGTGTTCATGTGGAGCACCGTATTGATGGTGAGTTGCTGAACATCCGTCGTTTCGGTGCGAGAAATCGAGTCTGTGAGACAGCTATCCGTATGTTGCTGTTTGCTGACGACTGTGCGTTGTTTTCACACAGCGCGGATGAGTTGCAGCATATGACTAGTGCGGTGGCTTCGATAGCGGCCAAATTCGGGCTCACCATCAACACAAGCAAAACTGTCTGTCTCTTTCAGCCTTCACCGGAGGTGCAATCTTCAATATTGCCGCGAATCAGCATTGGTGCTGAAGTACTGGAAACCACCTCCCGCTTCTGCTACCTTGGGAGTGTGATGTCGACTAATCAGCAGCTACACTGTGAGCTGCGTGTGCGCGCCTCGAAGGCAGCGGTAGCATTCGAGAAGCTAGAGTACCGAGTGGGGAACAACCACCAGCTTACCGTTGGCACGAAGCTGATGGTGTACAAATCCATGGTGCTGTCCGTTCTTCTATACGGCAGTGAAACGTGGACGATGTACCGGCGGGATGTGCGCTATCTCGAGCGGTTCCATCAACAGTGCTTGCGACGGATTTTGCGCATCGGTTGGTGCGACAGAGTTGCAGACACGGAAGTGTTGCGCCGTAGTGGAATGTATGCAGTGGACTGCATACTTCTGCTGAGACACCTGAGGTGGATCGGTCATGTGAGCCGTACGGATTCAACGCGGATACCGAAGCAAATTTTATATGGTCAGCTGAGTATAGGGAAGCGGCACGTAGGGAAATCAAAGTTACGTTACCAGGACATGATTAAATTGAGCCTCTCACGTTCTAATCTTGATTGCAGAGCATGGGAATCGAAGGCGGTTGATCGGCGTGCATGGCGCGATCTGATCACAAAGGCAGTTGCCGAGGTGCAGGAGAAAGGCCACATGCATGCAGAGAAGAAGCGGCAAGTTCTGAAGCGGCAAGCACCGATGGGTTGTTCTCCCTCGATATCAAGCGCATGGTGCTGTAGCACATGCGGTCGCGAGTGTCTGAGTCAGGCAGGCTTAGTGAGCCATGAGCGAGGCCACTCGGGACCACTACGGAAGCGACGACGGGCCCTGCAGAGAAGGTAGGCAGAACCAGCGCAGCGTTTGTAGGTACGCTGCATTCCATTCGATTCACTAACCGCGTGCTTGCATGCTAAGTCTATTTCAGGTGGTGGGTTTTCAATTTTGTCCTAATGCTTTTCTTTCGCAAATAAATGTCCACC